TTCTTTTGTTTTCTGCAAGACGGCTCCAGGAAGACTGCATGTCTTCTGAGGATGGCTTCCGCCTCTTGCCCCGAGCATCCCAAACTGCCTGAACGGTTCCCACTCGCCTTCCTCAAACCCAGCGCTTGCCCAAGCGCGTTCCGGACGGTCTTCGCCGGAACGCGCTGGAATGATCACGCGCTGCGGTTTCCCATGCCAACGTCCTCGGACGTGGGCGCCCTGCCACGAGCGCGTTCCGGGAAGATGCTCCTGGAACGCGCTGAAAAGATACGGCCACATCTCGGGGACGCTCCCGGCACTGCTGCCCCAGCCTTTCTGGGCAGCCTCCACAGCGCTCCAGGAGGGCCCAAGACGCCCCCTAGGAGCCCCCACAATGCGAAAGGATGGCCCAAGACGCTCCCGAGCAGCCCAAGTCAGCCTTCCGACGGCTCTCGAGGCTCCCAGGTGGCCTCCAAGAGACCCCAAGAAGTCTGATAGGTATCGCGGTACGGCCCGGAGAGGCCAAAGTCGTATATGTTCAATGTTCTTTTTCATGTTTTTGGCTTCTCGCGTTTTCGAGCTCCCATCGGTCCAAGAGCGCCGAAAGCCTCCATGGGGGTACTGGGGCTCATTTTCCCTGTGTTTTTAAAAGGGTTTCCGCGTCCTGGGCCTCGGAGGGCGCCGCCTCCGACCTCCCATGGGAGGAGGGGCTGCCGGGGAGGTCCAAAATAGTCCAGGGGGGCCTCCAGAGGCCCCCAAGACGGCCCAAGCGGGCCCCGAGTCGCCGAAAGACCGCTCCAGGACGCCCAAGATAGGCCCAAGACGGCCCGAGAGGCCCCCCAAGGCACTCCACGACGCTTCAAGACGCCTCTCCAGAGCGCTTCCAGAGGCCGAAATCGTCAAGTTTACAAAGGTTTTCGAACGATTTTGGCCTTCCAGCCTTTTCGGCTGTCCGACGTTCCACGACGGCTCAATAGGCCCCCAAGAGCGCCCCAAGACGGCCCAAGAGGGCCCCAAGACGGCCCCAGAGTCGCCCAAGACAGCCCAACAGAGCCCCAAGACGGCCCCAAGATGCGCCCAAGAGGGGGACCACGACTCCAAAATTCGACCCTCCCGCTTGAAGAGTGCCCCAGGAGGCCCCAAGGAGCCCCCAAGAGGCCCCAGGAGGCCCCCAAGAGGCACCCAGGAGGCCCAAACGAGGCCTAAAGAGGCCACAAAGCAGCCCGAGGAGGCCCCACAACGGTCCCAAAACGGCTACCGAGAAGCTGCGAAACTGCCTTTGGCGGGAGCAGTGACAGCACTCGTGCACAGCATGTTCCGGCGGGAGCCTTCCGGAACACGCTGCAGGAGGAGGAAGATCAGGAGGAGAGAGAGAGCTGGAGTGGGAGGAGGAGGAGGGGGACGAGGAGAAGGAAGAGGCCTCCCAGACAGCTCCAAGATAGCCGAAGAGGCTTCCAAGAGGGCCCTGGGCGGCCCACGAGGGCCGCAAGGCGGTGCCTGAGGCGCCCAAGACGGCCCGAGAGGGCCCCAAGACGGCCCCAAGAGAGGCCCAAAAAGGGAAACATGAACCGAGAATCCGAGCTTTCTACCCCGAGAGGTTCTCGGGAAGTCCCAGGAGGCCCCCAATCGGATCCAAGAGGCCCCCAAGAAGCTCCCAAGAGGGCCGACGAGGCTCCAAGAGATCTCCCAAGGTGGCCCCAAGAGGCACAACTCATTGTTTTACGATTGGGCTTTGACGTTTTTTTTTTTCGGCCTTTTGGCATCCCGATGCTCCAAGACGGCCCCAAAGGCTTCCAATACCGCTCCCACATAGAGGAAGAGGCCTCCAAGAGGGCCCCAAGACGGCCCGCGAGGGCCCCAAGACGGTGCTTGAGGCGCCCAAGACGGCCCGAGAGGGCCCCAAGAGCCCCAAGAGAGGCCCGAGAAGGGGAACGCGACCCAACAGCAGAGCGGTCCCCCCACAAGGCCCACAGGAGGCTGCAAGAGGCCCCAAAGTGGTCCGACGAGGACCCCAAAAGCTCCCCGAGGGCCCAAAAGGCCCCTGGGAGACGTCCAAGAGGTTTTAAAATAGCCCAAGAGTGCCCCAAATGCATCAAAACTGCTTCCAGGAGGCCCCCGGGAGGCTTCCGGATTGCCTCAATCTGGCCGCAGGTGGCCTCAAGTCGGGCCTCCACGCAGCCAAGACGGCCAATGACGGCTTCAGATTGCAGAACCGATGCCCCCAAGGGACCCTCAGACGCCCCCCCAAGAGGCACCCAAGAGGTGCCTCCAACAGCCAGTTGACGAAGCATGCGGAACACCCCAGAAGCTCCTCAGATGCCGTCGCGCGCCTGTGCTTGATAGCGTTGTCCAAGATCGTCCAGCGCCCCCCCGGCCTGGGCTAGAACCTGAGCGCGCGCGAAGCGCGCGCGCGATGGTTCTAGTACATATATATATATATATATATATACGTGTATATATATATATATATATACATGCATGCATGCATGCGTGCATGCATACACACACGTATGTATGTATGTATGTATGTATGTATATATATATATATATATATATATATATATATGCATGCATGCATGCATGCATGTGTGTATACATTACTACACACACGCACATAAACAGGTATATGTATATACACATGGCCTCTCTGGGCCTTGTTGGGGGCGTTTTGGAGCTGTATTTGCGCTCTTGGCCGTCCTGGGGCTCTATTGTATTGTTTTCGAAATCTTCGACCGTTTTGAAGCTCTCTTGGGCTCGTCTCGGGGCCGCCTTGGGCACTTTTGGATGCTTCTTCGGGGCCTCTTGGGGCTTGTTGGGAGCCTTTTGGTGCCCTGTGGGGATGTCTTGGGGCCCTTTTGTGCCATCTTGGGGCCTTCTTGGGGGCCTCTTGGATAGTCTGGGGCTGTGGGAAGCTCGAGAAGGCAAACTTTTTTTTTTGGTTGTGAGAAAAACTCACAGGAAGAACAATGTTCCGGGGCTCTTGAAGCCTTCTTTCAAGTCATCTGGAATGCCTATTGACTGGGCTGTTTTGGTGCCCGCTTGGACCGCTTCGAGGCCATCACAAGCCGTATTGGAGCGCGTTTGAGCGGTCCTGGGATCTTTTGGTCGCTTTTGAGCCGCCTTGGAGCCCTCAGAACGTATTTTCGGGCGACTCGGATTTTTTGACCTCCACGGGCCCACCGCATAGTGCAGGCAACTGGCAGTGTGGGACCTGCCAGCTCTGAGAAAACCTCGCCTCGGCGAGAGCCGCTATGGGGAGGGGGCTTCGCGAGTTCCTTTCGGAGCGCCCACTATGGCCCCCTCCCCGCACGGATCGACCCTCGGCTCGGGCTCTCACTGTCTGGCAGACACGCCAGAGACAGTGCACAAGAAAAATACGACTCACCACACAAGTAAACACACCTGCCATTAGTGGCGAATGACAGGAGAAAAACAGGCACCAGCTGGACAATCAGCTGGAAAAACGATCGGCAACGCGGAGAGCATCCTGAGCGGACAGGCGGTCGCCGCTTAGATCGCGAAGTCGCGACCTATGCCACAACAGCCTCAGGGCCGAGGAGGCAAAGCACGGCCGAGAATAAGATTGAGAACAGAAACTGAATTAGAGGGGGTGGCTGCGCCTGCAACCACACTTACGAGAAGACGGGTTCACGCCTGCCAAAAGAAAAAGGCAGGCACGAACGCTGCAAGTCAATCCGATCCCGAGCCCTCCCCCACAGCCCCACCCGTTCCCATATCGTCCGCCTCGCAGCGGAGAGAAGCAGCAATGCGCCTCAAGCACTCCCTGGTGGCTGCGGCCGAGGCGACCACATCACTCGAGGAAGAGCTGGGCGCAACGCTGCAGGCAGGAACGCCTGCGACAGAAGCAGTGGCAGGCTCTGCGGAGCGGACAGGCTCCTGCCCTCCAGCGCTGGCAGCACTACCAGACGAGCCAGAGGGAGCGGAGCTCTTGTCACCATCCTCCGTAAAATCAGGATTCGAAACCAAATACGAGTTAAAGCAGCGCACAAGAGAGGTATCATCAACTGTAACACCTTTACTCGACCGAGATCCCGGAGCTCGTCGGAGGATGCAGAATTAGGTGATGGCCATCCAGGGGGGATTTTCTTTATCATTTGATAGGGGAAAGGAATGAACACACACACAAACACACACGTGTATATATATATATATATATAGGAATATGGATGCGTCCGCAAGCGTTATTGGGCGTCAAAGTTGGATTCTGGGCAGTGAGTGCCTGGCTGCGGGCGCAGGAGTGTGCGCGCGAATCCAATCGGAGAGTAAACCTCGACCCCCGCCTTCGCTGCCAAGCCGTACCATGGCACAACAAACGGCCGTTCTCCTAACTGTAGGGCGACGAGATCTACGCGTACCAACCGCTCTGGGCCAGGCTCATGCTGGGCGCAGCAGCGGTGCACGTGTCCCCCTGGCCTTGTCAGGGAGCGATCTACACCGATCCTGTGCCTAGGCTGGGCCTGGCCAGGAAACTAAGATATGTGTAGTTCTCCTTGGCCTATGTGGGGGGTCCCCCCACAGCGGGGTCCACTCGCAGAGGCGCGAAGATGGCCCTCTCCGCGCATCACGGTCCGGCCCAGAGGTTTGCCTTTCTCCAGCATTGGGGTGCGCGAGAGCGCGGAGGTGAGTCGCGCTTCTAGCCGCGCGCGTTACCGTGTATTTTGGGCACACGTATGATGTATTTGTGTATATCCGGCTATGCACACCGTTTAGTATGTTGTGTTAGGTTTATGTGCCCACACACATTGCATATGTACATGCTTTCATATCAGGTGATCCCATATGCATTCATACATGTACATATGTGAATCCATATATATATATATATATATATATATATATATATGTGTAACACACATACATATACATTCTTTATATATATATATAGATGTAGGTGCTAGATCCTTGAGTTCCGTATGCGCCCTGGACAAGCAGATATTGCTTCCCCGTTGCGGCGTTCTCCTTCTGATATCTGACCTTTGCGCTTCGCACGAGCTGCGCAGGTGCAGATACCGTGCCCACACTGCGATGCAATGATGCTGGAGTAAGCGAGCGGCTTAGCCTACGGGAATTCTTTATTGATGGGGTTCAATCGCGGATCGCGGATGTGAGAGTTGCCACAGATGGTCGTCGTCGCCGACGCCGCTGTCGTCGTCGTTGTCGTCGTCGTCGTCGCCGTCGCCAGCGCCAGCGCCAGCACCAGCATCGTCGTCGTCGTCGTTGTCGTCGTCACAGGGTTGCTGCTGGAAACGCAGGTGACGACTGGAATCGGACAGTGCCTCCCGCTGTGGTTCCGCAAGGCAAACGATACAGGTCGTTGAACCCAGAGTGCAGTACGTGCAGGTCATGGAGAATATATGTGACCCAACCAGGGTGGACCGCTACCTTGCACGATGGAATCTGCAGGGTCCGATATTATGTGCGGGTGCAATCGCTTGAGATCCTTTTTGTTGTATCCTTCTCGCATACTTTGCTGGATGGCAACGCTTAATCCTTCCTGCGGCTGTGTATATACAGATCTGTCGCTGTATATGTATATGTAGATTTATCTAGTTAATGATGTACAGCGGGCCAAGTGTGGGGTCTTCTTTCTCTGCCATCTTGGGATATCCTGAGCTCTTGGTGGCATCTTGAAGCATCTGGAGCCCCCTTTGGTCAAGTTTGGTGCTATATTGGGGTCTCAGGGGCCCATCTGGGGGGCCTGATGAGAGACTCTCGGCGCATTGTTGGGCCATGCTGGACGATATTGGCGACATCTTGGCGACATCTTGGGGCCTTTTTAGGCCACCTGGGAGTGATGTTGGGGCATCCTATGCGCCGACATGGGACAGGCAAGATACCTTGAAAACACATTGGGCGTCTCATATTGACTGAGAATTTCGGATGGTCGCTTGGTGGGCGCCTCGTGGGCGTCTATTGTTGGTTGAGAGTGTTCTATACTTCTAGTTATAGGTATCGTTATATGCTATTTGTATGTCTGTGTGCATGCATGCACGCATGCATGCCTGCATGTATGTATGTACGTACGTATGTTTGTTTGCCTGTTTATACGTATGTCTGCATGTACGTATGCATGCATGCATGCATGTACGTATGTATGCATGTACGTATGTATGCATGTACGTATGTTTGTTTGCCTGTTTGTATGTACGTATGTATGTATGCATGCATGCATGCAGGCATGCATGCATCCATGTATGTACGTAAGTCTATATGCATGTATGTACGTATGTATACATGCACGTATGTATTTATGAATGTATGCATGTATATGTGTATGTTTGTTTGTTTGCTCGTTTGTTTGTACGTATGCATACATACACACATATATACATATACATATATACATATATATATATATATATATGAAGATGGGCCTTTTACTAGTAAATGCTGCGTCCCACGGCGAAGGTGCCGCACTTGAATGGTTCTGTAACCATCTCGCTCAAGCCTCGAGCGACTTCCGTGTATGTTCGCACTGGCCTCAGCGGCCGCCGGCGCCTTTCTCCCGGAGATCGGCCGCGGCCTCAGCACCGGGCTCGCGGTGTTCGCGGCCAACCGCGGGCAGGAGGCACAGTGCCCCGCCTGCCTGGCCTGCTCCTGCACGCCGCATCTCCACTGCCCGGAGCTCAGGTGCGACTGCTCGGGCCTCCAGAGAGCGAGCGCGGGGGGGCCGGGCCTCGCGGCTGTGGCGCTGGCCTGCGCCTTCAGCGGCCTCGCAGGGGCCGCCTTCGCCGCGGCGGCCTGCTGGCGCCTCGCGGGCGGGCGGATCCCGGCGGCGCCGCGCCCCGCGCGAGAGCCGGACGTTGAGCCGGACTTCGAGGAGGAGGCCCGGGCTCAGGCGCGTCTGGCTCGGACGCGGGCGCTGCAGCAGTGATGGCGGCGGCGCCGCCGGCCTTTCCCTCGGTGGCGGCGGCTGGCGTAGCTGCAGGCGACTTCATCGGCGTGCAGTACCGCGTCGGTGGCGTGCCGCTGATCCACGAGCGGCTGGTGGTGCTGCTTCCGCCTGGGCAGCCGGGCGTGGCGAGCGTCGTCACGCCCGACGACGACGAGTACGACGAGCTGTACGTGGGCTCGGCGGACGTCGCGCGGTGGGACGTGTTCCCTGGCGGCGCGGCGGGCGGCGTCATGCCGTGGGCACCGGGGGCGCGGTATTACTGCCTCTGGAGCCTGCCGACGCCGGCGACGCTGCGGACGGCAGCGGGCGCCGCCGCCGCGCGCCTCGGGCTGCCGCCTCCCGCGGGGCCCATCGTGCCGAACGCGGCTGGCCGGGTGCTGGCTGTGGCGGCGGCCGCCCCCGGGGCGGTCGCGCCTCCCGCCGTGGGCCCCGCGGCCGCGCCCGCCGCGGGAGTGGCTGGGCTCGTCGCTGCCCTCGGCGGCCCCGCCCTGGCCCCAGGGGCGCCGGTGCCCCTGCCGCCCGCGGAGGCAGCTCCGCCGCCTGCCGCACCTGCGGCTGCCCTGGCCGTGGCGGGTCCTCCTGTGCCGGCCGTCGGCGCTGGGGACGCTCGCGTGCACCCGGTGGTGTACAACCCGCTGGGCTCCCGGAAGGTGGGCTTCGGCGACGCCGTATCGCGGCTGGTGGAGCAGCAGTGGCCGGACTGGCCGATCCCGGGCCCGCGGGCGACGCTGTGGGTGTGCCAGTTCATCAAGGACAATGGCCGCTCGCCGCTCGACCGCCACAGCAAGTGGCGGTCGGAGGGCCGCCTGTCGCAGGCTGACTCAGGCGTGGCCGAGCACGAGAGGTGCTGCTTCTACTTGGAGCAGATGGTGTGCTGCGACCAGCTGAATGTCCCGGACATCGCGGCGGCGGAGATGATCTGCCGCAGCATCCAGGTGCAGGAGGAGAGGTGGCGGGGGCGGTTCATCACCAATGCCGACGAGACTCTCAACTCCCACCTCTTCTACGGGACCTCGGCGAACCGAGGCAACGCGCGCGTGCGCCCGCAGTTGCTGGCCTTCGTCAGCAGCGAACTCGCCAAGGAGTAAGCCGTGGCCAAGGAGAGGCGTAAGGCGCGCGAAGGGCGTGAAAGCGCCCGGCCTCCCAACAAGGACAAAGGGCCAGGGCGACAAGGGCAGGGGCAAGGACAGAGGCGAGGGGTAGATGGGAGCGCGCAGCGGATCTTGGGGCCACCTGCTGCGGCGAAGCTCGAGCAACCGGCCCTTCTTCGCGGCCTTCCTGCCGCCGCCGGCGGTGATCGTCGTCGGGGCATTTTTCCTCTTCCATTCGTTGCGCGTCGAGCTTTCGTGCCCCGGGCCGCCGCCCCTGCCGCGCAGTTCGCCAGCGGCGTCGCCGCTCGGAGGTGCTGCTGGACTGGGCGGGCGATGGCGTCTGCGCGCTCAACTGCCTGTGCGGCCACGCTGGTGGCCCTCCTTCGGCGCCCGACAACCTGGGGCAGCGTCGAGTTTTTAGAGGACTGCCACTTTGTTATGGGCGCGATGCCGAGCGACCCAGGTTTTTGCGAAGAAGCCGCCCTCTTGGGCCGTCTCGAAGCGTCGGGGGGCCGAAAAGGCGAGAACTTTTACGCACCTTCGGAACATGACTGATGTTTGCCTCTTCGGGCCCTCTTGGGAGGCCTCTTGGAAGTTCCCTGGGGCGTCTTTGGGACATCTTTGGCCGTCTTGGAACCATCTTGGGCGTCTTGGGGCGATATTTCGGCGAATCGGGGCCCTCTTGGACCGTCGTGGTGGCCTCGCGGAGCTTTCTCGGCTCGTCCTGGAGCCCACTTGGCCGCGGCGCAGTCGAGCGAGAAGCAGCGACGCGCCCCAGGAGGCGCGCGACAAACCCTGGAAGTTTTGAGGATTCGGGGTGCGGGCTCTTTGAAGCATTTCAGGGTTGAGGAGCGATGCTCTAGGGGATTGAACAATGGACCTGGGAGTGCTCCAACCTGTGCGGGCACGGTTGTCGACGTGTAGATGTGCGTGCCATTCTTTGTGCGCTTCCAATTCTGATATAGAGGGTCAGAAGGGGGAGTGCATTGAGCGAGCGTTGCGAGTATTACGCCGGTGTCCGGCCCACGGCGCCAGCGTCCTATTTGCGTGGGCCGTTGGAGGTTCCCGCGGCCCAGTACTGCATTCCAAAAGACCAGATCCGATAAGTCTTCTGGATGTTCCCCATCTCTAATTTACCTTCCAACCTATTCCCGCATGCTCTTCATCATGTTTTTTACTTGGCAGTGGAGCTGCCCCCACTTGTGGTCAGCTCTGTCTTATCGCAATAATGCTCCGCGGCACGGCTTGGCATGCCGCCAACGCCGCTGCGATGTCAGAGCGCGACTACTGGCAGGCCGGCGGAAACACTTGCAGTGGAAACGCTGCGCCCTCTATGGACGATATCCGCTTGACCATTCCGAAAAGCGCATCCGCCACGGCTCTGCGCCGTTACATCCCAAATGGCGACGAGCTTGGGCCAAATACGACCCATGGCACTACATGTGGCCCGACGTGGGAGCAGCACTTGAAGTGCAGTACTTTCGGCAGTGTCTGGTTAGGCATTTGCTGTGCGATTGGTTGCATGCAGCGAGGTAAGCCACAGCGACGGGGGCGACAACTGCGTGGGGCCCGTGCTGGGGTCCCTCGGGGAACGTACCGTTCTTCGAATTCACTCGCGAAGTACGCGCGTTGCGTCAGGTCGCAAGTGCCCGCGTGACCCCCCGCAGCGACAGGCTGCGTGCCTCCAGCGCGGTCTGGGAGGGGTGGCGCGCGCAATGTCGATGCGAATCCCACCCCGGGCCATCAACTACGGCGTGACGGTTCAAAGGGGCCCGCGCGGACCGTGGCGCAGACAGGGCGTTTCTCCTGAGCGCCAAAACCGAGGACCTAGAGGATGAGCGGCAGCTCACCTCAGGAACGGCGCCTATCGACTTCAGGCCCGATTCGGGCGAGAGAACGGACTCGACCCTCGCCAGGTTTGCGATGGCGAACCTTGAGGCTGATGCAGTTGGCTTTGACATTCCGAACTTTCTATTGCGAAGGCCTGGCGGCCGGTGCCGCCGACCCTGTTCGCAATGCGCAGCAAGAGATTACGAGGTTGCTCAAGGTCGGCTTGGCTGGAGCCCAGGGGAAGAGGAGTCCCAGGGGGGGGCGTCGTATCTGACCCGGGGGGGGGGTCGCTACCCCCCCCCCTCCCGGCGGGGGAGGGATCAAAGGGAAGGGGCTTCCCTTCGACTCAATTACGAGGTTGCTCAAGGTCGGCTTGGCTGGAGCCCAGGGGAAGAGGAGTCCCAGGGGGGGGCGTCGTATCTGACCCGGGGGGGGGGTCGACACCCCCCCCCCCCTCCCGGCGGGGGAGGGATCAAAGGGAAGGGGCTTCCCTTCGACTCAATTACGAGGTTGCTCAAGGTCGGCTTGGCTGGAGCCCAGGGGAAGAGGAGTCCCAGGGGGGGGCGTCGTATCTGACCCGGGGGGGGGGTCGACACCCCCCCCCCCCTCCCGGCGGGGGAGGGATCAAAGGGAAGGGGCTTCCCTTCGACTCAATTACGAGGTTGCTCAAGGTCGGCTTGGCTGGAGCTCATCTGATTCCCGGCGGGGGAGGGATCAAAGGGAAGGGGCTTCCCTTCGACTCAATTACGAGGTTGCTCAAGGTCGGCTTGGCTGGAGCCCAGGGGAAGAGGAGTCCCAGGGGGGGGCGTCGTATCTGACCCGGGGGGGGGGTCGACACCCCCCCCCCCTCCCGGCGGGGGAGGGATCAAAGGGAAGGGGCTTCCCTTCGACTCAATTACGAGGTTGCTCAAGGTCGGCTTGGCTGGAGCCCAGGGGTTGCTCAAGGTCGGCTTGGCTGGAGCCCAGGGGAAGAGGAGTCCCAGGGGGGGGCGTCGTATCTGACCCGGGGGGGGGGTCGCTACCCCCCCCCCCCTCCCGGCGGGGGAGGGATCAAAGGGAAGGGGCTTCCCTTCGACTCAATTACGAGGTTGCTCAAGGTCGGCTTGGCTGGAGCCCAGGGGAAGAGGTCTCCCAGGGAAAGGGAAGGACAGAGACGACGAGTACAAAGAATGACGGAGATGGCGGCTCGAACGGAAAAGCCCCTCACACACGCCGACAGGGTCGGTGGATTACTTTGACATTCCGAACTTTCTATTACTTACGACAGCGCTCCTCAGGGGCCTCGGGTTCGGCCCTGGCAGAGCCGCGCAACTTTTTCAGCCATTCAGCGGCGGCGCGCCGCGGACCCGCCATCAGTGCGACGAGCTACCGGGCCGCGTGCGCAGCCGCGGCCGCCTGGCTGAACGCGCCCCCGGCAACGTCTGAAACGCGTTGCCGGGAAGCACGGGGCTCGGAAACGCGAGCGCGCATTTGACAAAAGCCGGCGGAGGCGCGGCCGCGCCTATCGACGCGCGGGCCGATGGCCCCCATGGCCCAGACGAGTCCACGGCATTGCTTTGCGCGACTCCCCAGGGCCGAGGACTTGGCAGAAGCTGCCCAACGTCGTCATCGCAACAAGGCTGGGGGCAGCCATTTAACCCCGCATCTTCCGTTGCTCCCGAGAGTCAGACCGCTCTGTGGGGCTCGGCCTCCAACGGGAACTCGCCTTTCAAATCCGGCGCGGATGCCGACGCGCTATCATCATATGGGAACGAACGCGTAGGCATGTCGGACGCGCCCCGCGGATTCGGCGTCGCGGAAACCGCCAGACTTTCATTTCTAGGATGCCAACGTGCGAAGTTTTTGGCGGGGGCAGTCCACCAAGAAACCCGTGCGACGCGTGCGTAGAGCAGTCCGAAGATAATTTCACCGACGGGGGAAGGGGCGATGTAAGGGGTGCTCGCAGCAACCGACGGTTTCATGGCAGAGTGCTCGCAGCGTTTTTTGGTTGTTAAAAAAAAACGCAGCTTGCGTGCGCCGTGGGCCGAAACGGGAGGAGGGTGCTGTGTCCTCGTTGTGGTGGTGATGGGCGTTTCCAGGGCCAGTGCGATGCGATGGGGGGAAGGAAATGGGGGGCGGCGCTTCCCCTTCGACGGCTCAGGACACCATTGAGGGCGTAGAGTGCGTCGATTGGTCAGGTTTCGACCTCCCATCCGCGGTGGCTCTCCTCGCGCGCATTCACTTTGGGCGCGAACTGATGAATCGAGCGCTGACTGACTTGGCCCCCGATCTCCCGAACGGCGACTTCGGGGGCGCTTCGTCGCGCGACGGGGGCATCTCCCAAGCCGAGGCCGCCCCCGCCACGCAGAGGAATTACTCACCGCAGGGTTGCCCTGCCGAGCGGAGACGCTTGCGACTGACGATGCAGACGCGCCCATGGCCCCAACCAGCAATGCTTTGCGTGGGGGCGCGCTGAGGCAGCGGATTGGCGTCGCCAGCGAGAGTGCATCATATGATGTCATCGACGTCGGCTGGGACTCATCCAATTCTGACGTTCGCGCGGCCCGCGGCGTTCCTCGAGCCCGCTCGCGGGCCCCTGCAGGGGCGCCAAGGAACTGGGGTGGCCCGCGTGCCCCCCCCTTATTTCTTGCAGTGATGCTGGGCCCGCCAGGGGTGGGCCCCCGAGCAGGTGCGCCACTGGCGTTCCAAGCAGAGGCTTGAACGCAGTGAAGATGGACAGATCATCCGATTGTCGGCAGGGCGCCGCGCCCGCAGGTGCGAGGAACAGCGAAATTGTGGGCGGGAGCTCATTGCCCTGCGCAGTAACCGCTGAATCTGCGCGCGCCGCCTCAGGTCATCGCCGCCAGAGTGGCGAGGCCGACGACGAAGTCAAGGGGCGCGGCGTCCGCTGTGCCATCTTCTCATCACGTGGACACGCCAAGCGGAACGGATGTCGTGCACCTGATAGATGCGCACTGCAAACCACATCGATTACCCGTGCGGTCCAGCAATTCCGCTGAAGCTTTCGCAGCAGCACTCATCTTGGAAGGCCTTGGACCGCTTGCTCAGACGCAGTGCAATATTTTTAGTGTTGGGTGGTGCGCGCGTCCAGGTAATGCTCGCCATCGATGCCCAGTCGACCATCGCATCATTATCTAGTAAGGGCCTCGAGATGTCCACTGGGTGTATCCCATTTGGCCATTTAGTTCCCCAATCAGTGCTTGCGCGGAAGGGGTCTTAGCGGATGTGGGAAGATTTGGCGAACATTTTCCGCCGATGTTAGTGGCCGGCTGGGCTCCTCGGTTCCTGGTTCCAGGTTCCCGGGTTTTTGGTTATTGGTGCCGGGCCGATATCGGTGGGTTCCGGCTTTCCGGGTTCCCAGTCGATCTGTTTACCGATCTTCTCATCGATGCCATTTCAAATCATCCACTGATTGGTTTTTTTTGGTGTTATTGGGTTTGGCAAATGATGGACAGATGTATCGTGCACAGCGTACTGTGGCGTGATATGCGTGACACTACGGCCAATGGACACCGAAGGTGGTGTCGACCGCAGTTTTTGTTACACGTGAATGCAGGTATTCATTGAAGGCTGACTTCGGACGGCTGATGCCTTGCAGGGGAAATCTGACAACAGTTTCTGAGCTTGGCCAACATCGAGGCAGCGGATAAGGCATTCGCGCAAGCATGGGCACATGCTCGCTGCTGCCCAACCACGGGCTGTACTCTTGCTGTTGCCCGGTCATGGGCTTCACTTCTTCTGCGTTGCAGGATTTGCGCGTTCGAGTTTGGATGTCCGCTGATACTTTCATGTCGGCGGACCCACTAATCAGTTGGAGCGGTGGGTGCGCCCCTTCTGCGCACGCTGCCGCGCCAGCATGCGGTGAGGTTTCCCGTGAGTTTTTTTTTTGGACGTAAGTACGGAAGTTTTGGCAGCCAGCTTGCCAACGCAAAGAGGTTGCCTTCTACATTGTCATGTACGTATTGCTGCCGTTACGGTATCTTCGATATATCATGTAGTTCGTCGCGGTCCGTCGCTCTACCCCCCCTTCGCGATTGTGAACGGGGTTGAAGGCGAGATACGAGCGATGCGCCTGCGTCCGACGCCGCTTGGGCTCAAGCGGCGCCGCTTTTTGTGACGTCCCCACATTTAGGGCACCATTGCATCCGAGTAACGGAAAAAAGGACACGTCCACATCCTTCTGCGATGCACTTTCTACTCTCATGTCACATCTCTCATCTACCCGCCCATACCTATTGTACAGTTAAGCTATGGGGTAGCATTATACGCCTAACGCGTGATCGATGGTGCGGCGTACCATATCCTTCTCGACTCGCGGATCCCCCGAACATGCCTAAATACTCTGCCGCAAAGCACGCGGTGCATCATTCTGTTGAAAGGGATGGAGGGTAGGCGGGTGGTTGGGTGACATTGGTCTGGTTTGTCGCCCGTCGGGTGGGGGAGGGCGTGTGTATTCTTGCGGAGTGGTGATGAACCTCTTCCCGAAGGGGACGAATGGGTGTGGGAGAGATAGCTCCCTTAACCACAATCGAGAGTGCTCGTGGGATTCAGCGTTTCCTGCTTTAGTCATGTTGGTTGAAGGAAAAAGCTCACGCGAGATGCCCCGGCGTGATTCGAAGCAGAGGCGGTACGGCACGGTTGCAGTGTAGACGATGGTGCGGAGATCCACCGTGAAAGTGTGCGTCAACGGTGGCAGCGTCTGGCACAATGGCATGGTTAGCCGCGCGGCGATGCAGCCGGTGCAGCAGAGTGGTCTGGATTGCAGCCTGCTGCTTTTCGGACAATTCTTCCGGGGCCGTGCAGTGCACCGTGACCCTCAATAAGTCTGGGGCCCCAGGGTACAGTACCACCCTGACTACAAGGCTGCGCTCGCGGACTCCAGGGAATTTGCGCCTGGATGAAAGAACTGCCCTTGGAGTACACGTGTTCCCCATGCGCCCCGGCCCCCCTTTCCCCTTCCCAGCCCCCCCCCTGTCCGATAGAGGCTCCCCGCCGGTTCCCTGTGGGATGCCACGCGCCACCTTCCCTCCCCACGTTTGGCTTGTCAGCCAAGGGGTTCCACGCGTAGGGGGTGCCGCGCGCGTGAAGCCTAGCGCGCATGGAGTTTCCCACGGTCCGCGAGCTGGCACGAGGTGCGATGTAGCCAAAAAGTGATGCCACGCAGCGAGAGGTCAGAGTGCCCCCTCCCAAGCGCGACATGCCGCCACCCCTTGGATTGAGAAGGTACGAAGGGCAAAGAGGATGAGGGAAAGGGAGGATGAGAGGAGGACGGCGGAAGATTAGTTGGTAGAGGACGAGGAGCATGAGGGGAGGCAGGGCGACCCCCCCCTCCCCAGACACAAGTACAGGCACTCCTGCAGATCCCCCCTCCCAGGACCACAGGGAACCGCCCCAGGGATACGGGGAATTGCGCACGGGGAGCTGCCCCCCGAGTTCAAGGAGTCGCCGCCGGACTGCAGGGGATGCCCCCGAGCTTCAGGTGCCCCCAGAACTATTGAGGGACACGGCAGTGCACTGCTCGTCTGCCTATGCACCGCTTTTCGACGGTCGCATGAGTGGCGATGTGTTGTGGGCTTCTGTTTCGACGATCTTGCCGTGGTATTTGGACACTTGGCGGTGGCGTGTAGTCTTCTGGGCCACTGCCCCAGCACCGGCAATACTGTGCAGCCTGGATGGTGAACTTTAGGTTTGCATCTCGCACGCATTGGGATTCTTATTTCTCTTATGCTACAAGCGACTACGGCGCGCCAACACGACAGGTGGTTCAGCTGGTCCTGATGTACACTGTACAGACAGAGGTACGATGGGTGGGGTTTATTCAATCGCCTCGCTCATTCCGCCGGCCAATGTTGCATCATTATTGCTATTCGCTGACGTGCTCGTGGGAGGAGGAGTAATAGGAGGAGGAGGAGACGAGCTGGAGGCGACGGAGGAGGCATCTTGATCTTGATTGTTTCTTGGGGCACTCTTGCGGCCAGAGCAGGTCGTGGACAAGACGCCTCTTCAAGAGGCATCTTGGTGACATTTCGCGAGGCGTTTCGTCCTGTGGCCGTCCAGGGAGTTGATTGGGCTGACTTTGGTCGATCTTTGGGGTCTCTTGGAGGCCTCCTGCATCAGTTTCGGGCTCTCTGGGGCCGTCTGGAGGCCATCTTGAAGGCCTTCTGGGCCGTCTTGAGCCGACGGACGCCAGAAAAGGTACTCTTGAGGACTTCTCAGGTGTCTTCTTGGAGCGCTTTGGGGGGCCTCTTGGGCTGTTTGCAGAGACATAGGGCTGTCTTGGAGCGGTATTGGGCTGTCTTGGGGCCCTCTGAAGCCGTCCCCAGGCCACCTTCGGCTGCGAATTCCGAAGAACCGAATTCTAGCAGACAGCACTTGGCCTTCTAGCACGCCCACGTCGTGCAGCCACGGTGGTGGATTGCGGCGCAGGCAGCGGCACTAGATGTCCAGCTGTGCTGACGCGGATGTCCAGTGCCGGGGGAGCCCGCGCAAACAGTAACCCATCGGGCGTGGCACGGCTGTGGTCCCGCACTGGTTGGCCGCGGTGCCTCTCTGGGAAACGGTGCCCGTTCCAAAACGCGTGAGGATGAGAAGTCGGTCCCGGGGAAGGGGTCCAGACCGTTGGGGAGCCACGCGACGTCGTATGTCTGGGGACGGAGGAGGAAGAGGAGGAGGAGGAGGAGGCAGTTTGAGGATCCTGTTTCTTTCCAGTCGGGGCTGCATTCTGCTGGTCTTGGGCCGTCTCGGGACCGTCTTGGGTCGGCCTTGGGCCGTGCTGGGGTTGTCTCGGGGCTTCGTGGGGCTCCTTGGGGGAGTCAAGAGTCCGCGTGTAGGTGGTGATGAATCCATCGACTTGTCTTGGGCCGGTTTTGGGCCGCTTTGAAGCAAAGCATGCCCGCGATCCCCAAGGGGGGCGTGATTTTCTGAGGACCACAGCCGCAGAATCGTGGTCTCGCTTGGGATCGTCTCGTGGCTGGATCGAGGTAGTGTCAAACAATATGTTTCACAGCATATTCAATCCAAGTACCCAAACCATCCGCAACTTGTGGTACCAACAACGGGCTCGTCCAAGAAAAGCGAATATTTGAAGAGGCATGTTCTTTCGTGCAACAACTCCATGGATTTGTGCCCACTCGGGGCAGCATGGGGCGGGGGGGGACATTATGAAATTTGGGTTCAGAGGGTAAGTGTATATAGCGAGCATATCGAGTATCACGTCGGCGTCTGGCTCAAGACCGCGGTGTCCTCTTTGTTTGGACTGTCTGAGGATTCGGTAGTCCACTACGGCACCTAGAACAAGCCCCGATCAGTCTTGTGGATGGTGCTCCATCTCTCGTCGATTTTCCAACCTATCACCACGTGGTCCTCATCATGTTTTTCCCAACCATCCTGTGGTGTTGGGTCCTCGTTTTGAAGAGACGGTGCCCCGCGTTCTCCTTCCTTCCTTCCTTCCTTCCTTCCTTCCTTCCTTCCTTCCTTCCTTCCTCCTCCCCCCTCCCATTATCATCATCATCAACACCCATTTCGGCACACCCCTCACACGTTTCGTGGCTCCATAGGGAGCTCCACCGAAGGCCCCAGTGCCCGCGGCCGCATGCGTCCCCCACACCCATTTCGGCACACCCCTCACACGTTTCGTGGCTCCATAGGGAGCTCCACCGAAGGCCCCAGTGCCCGCGGCCGCATGCGTCCCCCACACCCATTTCGGCACACCCCTCACACGTTTCGTGGCTCCATAGGGAGCTCCACCGAAGGCCCCAGTGCCCGCGGCCGCATGCGTCCCCCACACCCATTTCGGCACACCCCTCACACGTTTCGTGGCTCCATAGGGAGCTCCACCGAAGGCCCCAGTGCCCGCGGCCGCATGCGTCCCCCACACCCATTTCGGCACACCCCTCACACGTTTCGTGGCTCCACTCCACCGAAGGCCCCAGTGCCCGCGGCCGCATGCGTCCCCCACACCCATTTCGGCACACCCCTCACACGTTTCGTGGCTCCATAGGGAGCTCCACCGAAGGCCCCAGTGCCCGCGGCCGCATGCGTCCCCCACACCCATTTCGGCACACCCCTCACACGTTTCGTGGCTCCATAGGGAGCTCCACCGAAGGCCCCAGTGCCCGCGGCCGCATGCGTCCCCCACACCCATTTCGGCACACCCCTCACACGTTTCGTGGCTCCATAGGGAGCTCCACCGAAGGCCCCAGTGCCCGCGGCCGCATGCGTCCCCCACACCCATTTCGGCACACCCCTCACACGTTTCGTGGCTCCATAGGGAGCTCCACCGAAGGCCCCAGTGCCCGCGGCCGCATGCGTCCCCCACACCCATTCGGCACACCCCTCACACGTTTCGTGGCTCCATAGGGAGCTCCACCGAAGGCCCCAGTGCCCGCGGCCATACACCCATTTCACACGTTTCGTGGCTCCATAGGGAGCTCCACCGAAGGCCCCAGTGCCCGCGGCCGCACACCCATTTCGGCACACCCCTCACACGTTTCGTGGCTCCATAGGGAGCTCCACCGAAGGCCCCAGTGCCCGCGGCCGCATGCGTCCCCCACACCCATTTCGGCACACCCCTCACACGTTTCGTGGCTCCATAGGGAGCTCCACCGAAGGCCCCAGTGCCCGCGGCCGCATGCGTCCCCCACACCCATTTCGGCACACCCCTCACACGTTTCGTGGCTCCATAGGGAGCTCCACCGAAGGCCCCAGTGCCCGCGGCCGCATGCGTCCCCCACACCCATTTCGGCACACCCCTCACACGTTTCGTGGCTCCATAGGGAGCTCCACCGAAGGCCCCAGTGCCCGCGGCCGCATGCGTCCCCCACACCCATTTCGGCACACCCCTCACACGTTTCGTGGCTCCATAGGGAGCTCCACCGAAGGCCTCAGTGCCGCCGCCCGCATGCGTCACCCCCACCCATTTCGGCACCCCCCCCGCATTTCTCGCACGGCAGGGTCATCACCACGGTGGCGTGCCAGGGGCGCACCATGCGCGAAGGCGACGGGGCGGGGGAACGGCGCTCCGGGGGCGGCCAGACCTCCGGGGCGCGAGCAGTCCGCGGCCAGACCATCTCTCGGTCCTGTGGACTCTCGCCCTGGGCCGTCGGCTGCCCGGCGCGCTGCTCCCTCGGTCGACGTCGCCCAGGCGTGATCCTGGATTGCGGCCGCCACGAGGTAGGGAACGGCAAGAAGGAGGACGACGACTGGTGGCTGGAGCTCTACGTGCTGCTCTCGCGCGCCACGCGCCACGAGGACCTCCTGCTCATGCGGGCGCCGCGCATCGAGTTCTTCCTGGCAGGGCCGCCGCAGGGCTTGCGGAAGCAGCTGGAGCAGTTTGCGGCGCGCACGAAGCGGTGCAGGAGGGAAGCGACGGCCCTCGCCAGGGAGCTCGGCTTCACCGAGTTCATCCGCGAGGCCTGACCTGAGGAGCGTCTCCCCCGAGCCGCGCCTTCTCTCGACTGCCCGACTAATTGTTTGGCCTCGCGCCGCGGACGACCCGCGCGCGTCGCTGGGACCCTCTCGGGGCGACCAGCGCGCGTCGCGGGAACTCCGTGCTGCGGGGGGCCCGGCGCCTCGTTCGCCCGTCGTCGCTCTGCCCAGCGGTCAGAGACTTGCCCGCTATCAGCCAGCCAGTTAGCTAGTCAGCTCTCTCTGCTTCGCGCAGCGGACGACCCGCGCGCGTCGCTGGGACCCCGCCCGGGGCGACCAGCGCGCGTCGCGGGGACTCCGCGCTGCGCTGCGCCCGCAGCCTTGGATTTTGGAGTGCGCGGGCAAAGAGGAAGGAAAAGAAGAGCCGAAAGCGGGCGCGATCCTCGCAAGAGGCGTGCCGACATGGGCGTCGCGACGTGCGGACGCTGCCGTCGGGGTTCCCGCGGAAGCTGCCTGCGGCGGCCACGCCCAGTGTCACGTGTGTTCGGACAGGCATGCTCGACACTTACACTAGGCGGTTCCATGATCGCATTCGTGCAAATATATTCACTCGCGCGCAGACCCATTCATACTCAGATTTCCTCGCGCTCTGACTCACCCGCGTTCTTTCTCTCGTAATCAGATCTATCGTATTCCTTCGCGTTGTGTACCCCGCCACATTTCGGCGCACCCCTCATGCGGTTCGTGGCCCCATAGGGAGCGCCACCGAAGAAGATACTCACAATTGCGATACTCGCCAGGATAATTTACTTGGCAGCGGAGCTGGCCCCGGTAAGTTGTGGTCAGCTCTGTCTATCGCAGTACTACTTTACTGCGCGGCATGGTCTGCCGCCAATGCCATTGCGACGTCAGGGCATGACTCCTGGCAAGCAGGCGGAAACGCCCGCAGCGGACGCTATATTTACTATGGGCGACATCCGCCTGACTATTCCGCGAAGCGTATTCGCCATGGCTTTACGCCACTACACCCCAATCTACGATGAACTTGGGAACCAGGTGCGGTTCAGGCTTCCGCTACGCGGAAGTGCAAACCCCGTGCTGTTAAATCAATTCGGGGGTACGCCTCCACAGCGAATCCGCCACGGACACTTCAAGTATGACCAATGAAATTGCTTACGACTCAGTATGGAAGCAGCACTTGAAGTACATTGCCTTTGCCATCGTATGGTTTGTCATTGGCTGTGCGATAGGTTGCATGCGACGCGATAGCCATGCCGACGGAGGCGACAACGCAACGCGGGGCCCGTACTGGGACCCCTC